TGACATACGAAACAAAACTATTTTGCAATATACGAAAGTAGCGGTTTCGGAAGTCGCACTTGCGAAACAAACATTTTCGCCAAACGACGTTTTGAAGTCTATAAAGAAAATTTGTTTGCCAGACTGATTTTAGTTGTAAAAATTAACATCTTTAAATCCCAAATGTTTATAATGAATTTTTATTTTCAGTATAATAACTATTAAATTTTTATGGTTTTATTTTTAGAAATATTGATAAAAAATAAAATTTCTTTCGAAACGAAAGTATTTCGGATCACAACATACGAAAGAATTCTTAACGGAAATAAACTTACGAAACGTGCCATAATAAATATATGCAAAGATGTTTTTTGAACTCATTACGCATATTAAAAATAAGAATGATGGGTAGGAATATACATGTTTTTTTTTTAAAGCATATGAAATTTTTGAAACAGGTTCGAATATGCTTAAGCAAATAGTAAAAAGAGGCTCAAAAATATGCTTTAGCTTAAGCATATTTCGGATAAAATATACCTATTTCAATAATTTCTAAAAGTGTGCACGTTACTAAAGTTCTAGCAGATTTTAAAGGTATGTAGAGTCCTGTTTGAATACGCTTTTCGAAGTATAGATCTTAGAAAATATTGTTTTTTAATTTTAATAAGATATAAATTTAAGTATAAGATTGTATAGTTCAATCAGTTAGATACGTGACAATTCGCCGCAGAGATCCGGGTTCGCATCCCGCAGTCATTGTAACTTTTGTTCATCAAACTCTTTTTACTTAAAATAGCATTTTTTGACCTCCATGTTCAATATTACAGATATTTCGTCACCTTCACAATAGTGACAACCTCTCTTCTGTTAGTTATTCTTTTAAGATTGAGTTCATTGTGCTTAATTCAACACGTTTAACTTGCTTTACTAAGTTCTACTTAAATTATGATAAAATGTACGTAAAACAACTTTTTCAAATAATATAAATCATTTTGCTTTAAATCTTTTGCTTTTTGTACTAGACATCTGTCCTAAATACTTTGTAATAATTTCTAGATTCTAAATACTTTGTATCTGTCCTAAATACTTTGTAATAATTTAATTGTTTATCACACATCCTCTTTATACTTTTTAAAAAGAAAGGCATACTGTTTATCTGTTCATTGAGAGTCCAACTTAACGGGATTTTACTGTATATATATGTATATATTTATATATATATATATATATATATATATATATATATATATATATATATATATATATATATATATATGTATATATATATATATATATATATATATATATATATATATATATATATATATATATATATATATATGTATATATATATATATATATATATATATATATTAGGTATATTTGTATAAACATTTGAAGAATCATTTGACAACATTTTTTTATAATTTTATTATTTATTATTTAAACTGTTAACAGTTAATATCTTAAATATATCGTAACATAAAATCTTTTGCGTCTTTTTCGTAACTACACATTCCGGAATGCTTTTTTCCGTAAGGAACTATTTCGTAAGTATTCTTTCGAAATGATTTGTGTCGCAAGTTTTCTTTCGCAATGCTTTATTACGGAATTTTATTTACTATTTATATTTTCGTATAGCGCGTTACGGAATGTGCATTTTTGCATGTGCAACTTCCGCAATAACAATTCTATTACGGTAGATAAAAATGCGAAATTTTCGAAAGTTTTGTTTTTCGGCGAACAACCCTAATTTATAAGAAAACAAAGTGTTAGGCGGGGGGAAATTTCAGCCCGGATAAGTGGGCTGAAACCTAGCCCGGGCTGATTTTTACTCATGTAATGAGCCCCTAAAATATCTGATTGAAATTGAATTAATAAGAAAGTATGATTTGGTGGAAAGTAAACCAACTAATAGTGACCATGATTATGCAGATATTCCAAATTGCAGCATTTAAAAAAGCGTTGATCTTATATTGTCAGATACGTAGCTAAAATGACATTAAAATAAAGTTATCTGTATTAAATATATATATATATATATATTTATATATATATAAATATAATATATATATATGTATATATATATATATATATTATATATATATATATATATATATATATATATATATATATATATATATATATATATATATATATAAAAATCTAGAAGGAACCTCTGAGTTGTGTGTACTCACAGAGCTCAGCTAATAGTTCATGCAGCATTTGTAAATTTGTGATATCTATTTGAAAAACTAATTTATAATAGTTTATTTTAAAAAGATATTCAGCTGCCTACCATGCAGTTGTGTTATTAACCTTCTAGCACACAGCATTGGGTAGTTAAGAACTAAAAGGTACATAAATTTTTTAAAAAACAATATTAATCAATTAATTTATGGTAAAACTAAAATTAAAAGAAAGTAAATAAATGAAATAATAAATAAAAAATAAAATTATTTAGATTTTTCACATCTAAAGTTGTTTAGAAACTTTTGAATTAGATAACTACCAGGTCTTTATTTGTTTTTTACTTCTACTAATAGGTTATAACTAGTTATATATATATTAGTGGAACCTAGTAGTTAACTATTAGGTTTTAGGTACAATACTTGTTTCTAGTGCGTTCTTACTTATGTTAAATAAACTAATTTTTAATTATTTAACTAAAAATTTTTGTTCTTTTTACAAATGGCGGGATAAGTTTGTAAACAAATAATTAACTTTTCTTTTCTTAAATGAAGTAAATTTATTTTAAATTTAGATACTATTTACGTAAAAGTGTTAAGCAAGTATTGTAATTTCTGTATATATAATAATAATTTATGATTCCTAAATTTATTTTCAATTAAAAAGGATTAAAGTTTTGAACAGAAAATTAAAACGTCTTACTATTTTGAAGCATTTTTATGAATTAAAATAGTAAAAACTTTTTAATAAACATAAGCTTATAAAAAAACTTTTAAAAGTATTTTATAATTGTTAAAACGTGTTTTTGAATTATCTTTAATTTATTGGGAACTTTTGACGTGCAATTTTAACTTTTATTCTACACTTCGGCTTCAGCTTTTGCACTTTTTACAAATGGCGGACAATTGTTATAAACAAAAAAAAGCGGCTTCACTTTTTGTCCTATAAAACCCCGCAGGTTAGACATCTAGTAATATAATATATTTTTGTAACAGGTAGTCTGGCCAGTTGGGCTGTTTTCGCAAGATTTTATTGTTTTTAAACAAAGAAAGTTAAAATTTTGAGTTTATGTTGAAAGTCGTTTATTTATCTTGCCCAGACTACAAATAAGTGACAAAAATTTAAAAAAAGGTGAACTCAACAGATAAACAGTGCTTCGATTCTTTAATATTAGATCTAGAATCAGATATATTTTTTTGTAAACTCAAGTTTATCAATAATTTAAGTTCTTTTCTCGATGAAATTGGGAGTAAAAACGCTTAAAGCAAATCTATCTTCACCATTGTATGATAAAAGTCGGAGCATAAAGTCAAGCGATACATAACAAACCAGTACTGAATTAGTTTCTCTTTAACACGGCAAATAAATGGATAAACTTGTTTGTAACAATAAGAATTTTGTTTTAAAAAAACATTTTTATTGTTATTAACGATCTCCATATATTAGAAATTAGCTTTCAAAGTACATATTTTTAAAAGATGATACGAATCTATCATTTAAGTTAATAAAAAGAAGTTATAAAAACTATTTATTGTGAAGTTGAAGTTTTTTTATCCAAAATTTATAGTTGCAGATCAAAAAGGATTTTTGTTCACAGATCCTCACCTCTTGTAGGATATAACCTTGCTAATCATATTTAGTAAACAGAAAAAGAAATTTTTCGGCGACTCCTTTGAAGCACGTTTAATTGACCTTTTCACAGTTATGCGCGCGCAAAAATGGAATTAAAAACGTAAACAAAAGTTATTTTAACAGTAATTTGTTCGAGATTTACAAAGCTAAACTAAGGTTTATCAAATAATATTATTAAACCAGTGCCCCTTGTTTCATGTAGTTATTAAAAAAAGAGCCTTCTAATCTATTTTAAATAACAAATTAAGAAACAAGTGAAAAAAACTACCTCAAAACACTTTTGGGTTTATAAAAAAATAATTCAACTATCTTATTTTGATCTCTAATGTACTTAATGTAGTGTTTAAAGCTAAATTTATGCACATATATATATATATATATATATATATATATATATATATATATATATATATATATATATATATATATATATATATATATATATATATATATATATATATATATATTCTGAAATTAGTTGTACAAGTAGTAGAAGTACTAATCTAAAGTAAAAACCTGCAACATTACTATAAAATAATAATGATCATAATAATAGCAATAAAAAAAATCATTATTATTAATATTGTCATTGTTATTATTATTTAAACTAATATTATTAATGATATTATTATGGTTTATATTGTTATATATTAGCTTTATTATATATTTTATTATATTAGCTTTGTCTTATCTTGTTATTTTAATTTGTGAACATTACCATTTGTATTTTTTTCATAAATATTCCGTATTTACTTAATATTTGTTAATTTACTGATTGTGAATAATTGTGAAAGTAAGACTTTTATTCAGAATATATGTTATTGATTGACTGTTAATATGACTCTACCGTATATTTTTGCCACAATGTGCTACAGTTATTGAATTTTAATAATAAAAACAAGTAATCGTGTTTTTATTATTAAAAGTTTTTAGCAATTTATTAAATTATTTAGTAACCCCATTATTTATTAAGCCCTCAACATTGTTAAATTATTTAAACCCCATACCATTAAATTATTTAGTATGCCCATTACATTTATACCAATTGTAAAGTTTAACCTATTATTTATTCCATTATCAAGTTTTTTTTTCTTTTTTTGTTGTTGCTAGGCTTGATGTACTTATCCTTTTTAGTAGGTAAAACTTACTGAAATGCTGAAAGTATTTAACAAAATTAATGTATAATTTGTAACTGAGTATTATATTAATAATTACTTAAAATCTTATTCAGTATTGTAGATTTACAGCTTGTTAATAATTTTTAATTATCACATTTAAAATTATTTGATTCATATTATATTTTGTTAATGATATGCTTTTATTTACTTATATTTATGTATATTTTTCATAGACGAGAAAAACTTCAAGTAGGTTTATCAGGAGAAGCTCTGAGTAAATGGTGGCCTTACAATATTGTTTCCAAAATAGTAGGTGGTGAGGCTTTTCTTGACAATGATCTTTTATCTCAAAGTCAAAACTTTTCTAGTCAAGATTTTCAAGATGATCAGGTAAGCTTAGTATAATTTATTGCTGTATATTTTAAAGTGCTATATATTATTTTCTTAATTTTGTTATTGTATTAATATATTATTAAGTTCTTAATTTTGCAACATTTGGAAGACTTAAAACATAAAGATTAAAAACATACAATATCATGTTTTCAAATTATAAAAGGATCTTTTAATATTGGCAAGAGATCAATTTGTAAAATGCTATTGTCTATGTAGATTCTTTTTGTTTGGGGAAGGAGGGGAGTTAAAATGATTTGAAGTCAAGTCTCTCAAAATCAAGAGATAAATTTTGATTGAAATATGATTTATAATCATTTCTTGTGTGTGGAATTGTTTTAATGTGTATTTTTTAATTACAGATTGCCACAATGGAGGATGGCAAAGAGATTATCTGTATTTTACATATTGAAGCTTTGGATGATATAAGTGATGTGCAACCTATTGTCACTATTCCTGATGAGGAACCAACTAAATCTACATCCAGCTGCAATAAACGAAGGAACTCTGATGATAAAAAACTTTAAATAAAATAGCAAAAACTGAACCGGTAAGAGCAAATAAAAACGCAAGTTTTTCTTCAAAATACTTAAAATTAGCAAATAAAAATCTTGTTCAAAAAAAAAAGTTCAAATCCGTTCACAACAACTACGAATCAGAGAGGTTGCTGCTTTAGAGCATATGACCGACGCAATCGAAAATGCATCTTAAGCCCAAGTAGATGTGTCTAAAGCCCAAATAGAATATTATAAGGTCTTAATGAAAAAATAAGGTGTTCTATTAGTCAAGATATCTCTTTAGTAATTAATTATGTTAAAATAAATTAAATATGTTATGTCAAAAGGTCAATATCTTTTTCAACAGTATACCTTGTTTACGTATCTATGCTAATTATATTTAATAAGGTTTTTCAATATTTTTTACTAAAGGGATGGAAATATTGTACAAGCTTGTAGATGAATCTCTATTTGTATATGTTTTTTATGTTACTATTTTACTATTATCAAAGGAATATTTATTTTGTAATTTCAAGCATTAAAATGCATTTCTGGTGATGTTTTTTAAATTTGTCATATTATTTTAACAAAGTGTATTTTATATGGTACAAATACTTTTTTTTTGTATCTCTATGCTATATATATTAAGTATTTTTAACCAAAGAAATATTTTTATTGTGATATGATTCAAGCCTGTAAATGAATTATAGTGATTTATTATGCCTGCGTGATTTGTTTTTTATCTATGCAAATTGCATTACAAATCATGCTGTATTAATTCTAACAGAATGTTTTTTAACCATGTTGATGGATGCCACATCCCTATTTCAGCCCCTAAAGATCAAGCAATTTCTTATTATAATTATAAAGGGTGGTAATCCATTGTACTTTTTGCCGTTGTAGACTGCAGATACCGTTTCATTTATACAAGTGTTGGATTGCCTTGTAGAAATAATGACAGCTATATTTTGAAAACTTACCATATTCAAAATATATAGAAAATAGTATCAGTCCTGAAAAAACTGAAAAACAAAACTGCCTTCTCAGTAGTTAAACTCATAAAAAATATCTTTACTTGTCACAGAATACTTTTGAATCTTATTGCCAATGGCTTTCCCTATAGCAGTGCAGAGTTCCTTAAGTTGTCAAAGGAGTGTTGCTTCAACTTCACTTCATCTAGCCCTAATTACCCACAATCTATCTCAGTGAAATGTGGATAATAATCATGGAAAAAATACTAAAACAATGTGACAACCCTGAATTTGGTCTTCTCGAATACCTTAACACTCCTCTTACAGATGTGGACTCTTCTCTGTCTGAACTTCTCATGAACAGAAGAACACGAAAAATGTTACCTGCCCGCCACAACTTACTTATTCTATCAGTTCCTTTAAATGCTTTTAGTCATCAAGTCCGGAAAATACAGAAACATTACTGTAATTAGAACTTGTCTGAACTTCTAGTTCTTAAAGCAAACAAAACTGCACGAATGAAAAAGAATGGAATTTGGAAAAAAGTTACAATTCAAGAAAAGTTAAACTTATCTAGGACCTACATTTATTTTAGTATGGAAGAGTATATAGACGCAATGGTAAAAATCTGATAAAAACTAATGAACAACTAGTTTTGTATCAACATCAACTACTTGATTTACCTATCGAATGACTGACAAACATCTAACTTCTGATTATATCATATGAAGAAACAGCAGACAATGAAATAATAAAAACAACAAACATCCCGGAAATGCTGTAGACCGAACCACACGCTAGCGTGTGAAGAACAGTAAGAGTTAAATAAAGACCGTCATATTTAAAGGATTTTACTCAATGAAATCAACTGTTTATATTTATATTAATAAAGATCATAATTGAAAAAAATAATTATTATAGAAGAAAGATTTAACATCAGTGATAAAATACATTGACGCCTTGTGCTCATTGAATGTAAATACACATGGCATTATTGTCTAATCTGACATATGAGAGATGTACATCACTTGAGCAGTTGAGCAGTGACCATAGTAGTAGTTATAGAAAATATATAAAGATGCAACCTTATGACAGTTAGGATAAAAGCATAAGTAGCTAAAGGATAAAAGCATAAGTGGCTAAAGCAAACTACAGTTTGTAGTTTACTTTGTGTCTAAAAGAGAATGAGCATGATTAAAAAAACTGGCTCGAATATGACAACAGTATTCGATATGAATATGATATAATGATATAATATATGAATAAGATATTGATAGAGCTAATTATTATCAACTACAGAGAAAAACTATAGAGATTATTGAAAACTATTGAAAAGATTAAAAAAATATAGAGACAATTGAAAAACTATAGAGATTATTGGAAAGATCATTAAAATAAATGAGTAACAACGAGTGATATAAATCATTTTCCAAGGCAGAAAACAATCTAGCACTAGTTTAAATCTATTCTGGTCTATTGATAAAAAGGTAATACAAGGCTGTTCTACTAAAACTTTCTGATTACTCCTAATATTTTTGCCCTGGAAGTTTTTAACAATACAGTAGTTAGATGTTAACATTGCCCAAGATAAATACTTTTATCAAGACACCATTTCTAGCCTAAACTCAACCAAAAAACCCTAATTTAGTGAGTGCAAGATATCTTTCAGGCTACACTTATACAAAAACTTAAACAATTTTATGTAAATTTATTCCTTTTAATTACTATTTTACAACTAAAAAAATCAAAGCAAAATTTTATTTGATGAATACAAATCTATGAGTTTGCATAATTTAATAAGCCTAAGAAATAAATTCAATAAGTTTAAAATATGAAAAAGTAAAAAACTTAAAAAAATATTTAAATTGAAAAACCCAGAAAAAAGGTTGTAGAGAAACCAGTAAAAAGTATATAAGTTTTTATAAATTGTTATTTTGAATCTAACAACTTACCTTCTCATCATCAGTATGAGTTGTGATCTTCTTGTTCTACTGCTGATTTTTTAATGTTAATTACTGATAGGTTTTATCATGCATTAGTTAAAGTGGAGAAGCTAAGGCTATCGCTTTCTACATATCTAGAGCTTTTGACAAAGTTTGGCATGCTGGTTTTTTCCATGAGATCTCTTCTTAAGGTGTATCCAAGTAACACCTTGATACACGTTAAGAAGAGAGTCATGAGTCCTATTCTTTTTTTTTTTTTTTTTTTTTTAAGTTGATTTAGCTGCCTCAAGAAGTCCTTACGGTCTTATCACAGAGCACCGCAAAAGAGCATTTTATAGGAAGTTCACGCCTCCTTCCCAACCGATGTCGCAAAACTTGCCTAGAGGTGGGGCTGGAACCACGGATCTTACGTTTATGAGGCAAGTGCGCTACCACTGCGTCACGGCTGTTTTATTTGAAAATGTCTTAACTTTATTACACTTCAAAAAAATAAAAATAAAAAGTTAAAACGTAATATAACATAAGTATAAAAGTTATCCTCGATGGACAGCACCTTTCTTCATTTCCTGCAACTTCAGGGGTTTTTCAAGTTTCAATCCTTGGCCCATACACTCTATTTAATTTGTAATATTGCTTTAATTTCTCATTTCTATAAATACTATAATGGACACTGCCTTAAAGAGCTAGTCTTTTGTGCCATCTACTAAAATTCATTCTCGTGTTACTCGTCATTTAATGATGTCTTACCCATTTACTGTGACTGTTCCTAAGTGCTTCAAAAATTCTTATTTGTCTAGTTTTTATCCACAAGCGTCAGTACTTTGGAATTCCAAAGTAACTTCCAACTCTAAGAGTTGTTGCTTGCAGCCATGTCGGAAGTGAAGATAGTAAAAAATAAAAATATAAAATAATAAGAAACTAATAATTCCAATAAATGGCTTTACTTTTGGCATTTGTTTTCCACAATTTTTTTTTGTGTGCAATGCTTTTGTCTACATTTTTGCACTAACTACATTTACGTGGAGTTTATTTTTTTTTATTTAGGAAAGATTGAGTGTAGAGGAAATCGATCAGGGTAGGTTGAATATTTTTTTGTTATTGACCTAATTTTTTTAAATTGATAGTTTTTATAAATATTTTTATATATATATATATATATATATATATATATATATATATATATATATATATATATATATATATATATATATATATATATATATATATATATATATATATATATATGTATATATACCGTAAATATATATATATATATATATATACATATATATATATATATATATATATATATATATATATATATATATATATATATATATATATACCGTAAACCGGGGTTACTTTAAATGTTTTTTCAATATATTTTTGCTTTCTCTTCCTTCATTATTGACAATATTTGAAATTTAACAAAATGAATATAGGGGCTGAGATTGACTCTTACATAATTCAAATTCAAAGTTATATTTAAATAAAGGATTTTGTATAATATTAATTAAAAGAGTCATTTAAAGTTACCCCACAAATGGGGTAACTTTAAATGCCTTTTTTGTAAAAGCAAAACCTATTCAAAAACGCATTGTTTTTATTTAAAATTTAATAAAAACAACAGTCTAGTTTCACATTAATTTATTATTGCCAAAATGATATAATATTATTTCAAATATTTGAAGATAATACTTATATCTAATGGGTAAACCCCATATTTATTTTAAAAACAGTAAGCTACTAATTTGTTGATTACTTTTTGATCTGACAAATTAAATGTTTGTAAATAAATGAAGAACAAAGGAGATTAATTTTTTGTAACTGTCTGTGCTTTTTTGAACAAGAGGCTTTTGATTGATCAAGTATTTTCCTCTTTTATTTTTCAAGAGATATATAAAATATAACACCAAAAGATTACAATAAATGGGTTACCAGTTATAGAACAAGATACTGTTTTCGTCACAACAAGATTAGCAATCTTTACAGTGAAATGTACCTTTTCACCAAAAAGATTGCTTTGATTATAACTAAAAAGAACCTTCCTACAATTTGACAAAAAACAAGAACAAACCAATCAAAAAAGTGAATAGAATTTAATCATCCTGACTTTGATTGTATTGTATATTAGGTGGGCCACTTTCGGTTATTTTTGTCTTATAATGGTCAGGTTTATAAACATAACCAGAGACAATTTGACCAGAAGCACTAAACATGCACTGTTAAAAAATTTGCCGTAGATTCAACCGAGAATGTCCGGCAGCAAAGTGACAGCACTTTCTCTGTAAAAATTAATGGTTTCCGTAGTTTCTATTTTCCGTAAAAATTAACGGAAAAAGTCCGTTAAATAAGATACAGAACTTTCTCCGTAAAATTCACGGTTTCCGTATTTCATTTTTTCCGTACAAATTAACGGAGAGCAAAGAGACAGCACTTTCCCCGTAAAATTTCGGTTTCCGTATTTCATTTTTTCCGTTTAATTTAACGGAAAAACTTGTTAATTCAGCAAATAAACAGTTAACTCATTTTAAGCGAAAATGAATAGAATATATATGTTGTTATATGTAATATGAGTAATAAGAAACTACTCATATTTTAAATGATTAAAAACTATAATATAATACACATCATAAATATAATACACACATAAAACGCAACACAAAAAAGTTTAGTAGTTTTGAGTACTTATGCCATTTACAAAATATTTAAGGACATCTACTTTAATCATATAGACCGTATGCAAAACGTGCTGAGTCTAAAATATATCAATTTCTGTTGATGTACTATGAGTAGCTCAGATTTTACTAATTTTTTAAATTCAAGTTACTTGGACTTAGCACATTTTTCAGATGAACTCCTTATATGTTAATGAAATAGTTATCATAATAATAATAATTACAATAAGTTATATGTTATAGTAGTTATTATATATATATATATATATATATATTATATAATATTTAGAATAACAAATAACATTTTACTATGACAAATTGTAATATATTATTATAGTTAATATATATATATATATATATATATATATATATATATATATATATATATATATATATATATATATATATATATATATATATATATATATATATATATATATATATATATATATATATACATATATATATATATATATATATATATATATATATATATATATATATATATATATATATATATATATATATATATATATATATATATATATATATATCATAATAGTTATAATAAATTTTAAAACTTAAAGAAAGCATGTTCACAGAATGGTTCAAACCTGGTTTGAACAAACAAGTCAACCATGTCTAAATGACACTTTCTGTTTAGTTATTATTTTGTATGTAAACTTTTATTAAGCTATTTTTTCATCACTTCCTATTCGTTCTTTTAGTATGACTTGTTATTCTTACAGATTTTGCCTTATTTTTGTAATTAAATTAATAGTTCGTACATAAATAATTACATTTTGTATTGTTATTGTAAAAATCACCTATATAGGTATTTAAACAAATTTAAAAAAATTTAAATTCAACTCAGTATGACTAGTGATAGTCGAAAGTCGAAACAAGTACTGTTTAAAGCTAATAAAATAGTTTTATTAATTAAAAAGTTTGTCTTGTTTATTAAAACATTTACATTTTTTGTGCTCAAAAGAAATTTTGGATATATATATATATATATATATATATATATATATATATATATATATATATATATATATATATAAATATATATATACATGGCCTACTATATTACACGGCCATGTATGTTACATTTTAGAGGAGGCCTATTATAAAAAAAAATGGCTGCGCAGCTATAGAGAAAACATATAACTATATCTCGTCTAGACTAAATAGATAGTATAAATATAATATTACGAGTAGAAATATTATTAATAAAAAAGTATTCACTAAAAACTGGCATTTTTTGCTTTCATACTAGCGATATATGAATTTATAAACATATATATCTGCGTGTATTATATATATATATATATATATATATATATATATATATATATATATATATATATATATATATATATATATATATATATATATATATATATTTATATATTTGTACATTACACAATTAAATTGACAACACTGGGAACTTACAAAATAAAAAGGTTGAACTTTGTGTTTTTTTATGTTATTATCTATTTATGTTTTGTTTTTTTCTCCTTTTTTTTAGAGCATTATTTTTCTCTCTGTCTACTTCTAAAACTTTTAACACCATATTTTCGTACAATGGCATAGATTATCTTCTGCTTATTGTTAATTATGTTTTTAGAAGCAAATTTAAACCCCATTTTTTGTGTAAATTGCAAATAAAGCAAACTGTTGGAAAGTATTTTGATAAAACAAAGCTTGATACATCTTTGACATTGGTACCTTGTTTAGTTATTAAATTTGAAAGATTATCTAAGACTGCAAAACATCCACATGTGAAATCCTTAAGTGAAAGTGAAGGCACAGTAAGACCACCTCGTGAAAGTATTTGTAGATATAGGCAAATATTTATATTGCATGCATCTATAGCAAGCATAGACTTACAATCGCTACATTTGCTTCTTTTTATTTCTTTGCAATATAACCAGCAATTGTTGTGGCAACTTCTTCTGTTTCAGGTGATAGAGTTAATTCTGATATCTCATTTGGATTTAAATCTAATAATATAGTAATTCATCATTAATTGGATTATCATAATTGTTCTTCAAATCTTTACCCCAAAAGTTTACATTCTCTCTAATTAAAGTCCAACATGCTAAAATAATCTTTGAATGTTGAACTTCTAGTAAACTTACTAGAAATCTCCTACCACTCTCCTTTCGATATTGAGAAAATCTACGCTCTATAGGGTCACTTTGAAGTCGTGAAGTAAGCACATACAAATATCTTTCTTCTATAAGCTCGTCTATAAGCATTACTTGAGAACGCAGAGTTGTGATAAGAGCAGATGATGTTTGTTTAGATAAAGTAAAAAATTGAGATTTCTGCCCAAGTTCAATCCAATCAGCTAGTTGCCTAAAAAATTTAGTTTTAACATCATCAAATATAATTGCATTACCAAGTTTATTTGGACTAAATTATTACTTTAAATTTGAAACAGTCCACCATTTTTGAATAATACTTAAAAAACCAGAAATGTCATTTCTTTCAAGAAAATAACTTTTAAAACTTGCAATTGTCTCATCGAAAAACGACAGTGTAAGAGAAACATTTTGCTTTTTATTACCAGGGTGAAGAGTTTGATATGTAATTTTCGGAGCTTTTTTCAAATTACCTTAAAGTTGTTCATCTTTAGAATGTGGAAGATGAAAATCTCCCCAAGTTATATTACCAGCTGGACAACTATAGACATCATCTTTTATATTATAAGAAAATTAAGGAAAGACAATTTTTTTGCAGTGTAATAAATTATTTCTGATATTTTTAACAATATGAACACTATCATAAAATAAGTATATTTTACTACTTGGACTATCAGGATAATAAATAAATAAATTTGACTGATTACCAAATTTCAAATTAAGCAAATAAAATGCATTTACATTTGCTTGATGATTGTCAGTAACAATTCCTTGAATTTTAAAAAGAAAGAGAACTAATAGAATCTGATATTTGCTCTGAAAATCATTTACAACTAATGGTAACTTTGGGTACTGCTTTTATGACATAAGGAAAAGATTTCTTTAAACTAACAATCATAAATGCAACAACTTCTTTGTACGGAGTACCATTGTCATCTGCACCCACATAGACACCACTTCAATATTGTGCCTGTTTCTGAAGATAAAATTTATCTACAATTAGTATTAAATCTTCATGTATTGAACCCTTCTCACGAAGAGTTTTAACAGCCTTTATTGCATCAACTCCACCTTGTTTAATTTTATTTAATAAAGAAATTGAAGGTAATGGAAACAATTTAAGTAAAATTTAATATACTTGTTTAGATGTATATCTTAATAATAAAGCGTGTCTGATCATATCTGCAGAATATTGAGTTTGACCTTTTGGTTTATAGTATATACTCAAAATTATTTGTTCCTCAATATTTCTATTTGAAGCAGCTATGTTTTTTATGTACGATGCAAGATTTTCTAACATACTCAAACTAGTTAACATTATGACCTTTAGTTAACCATGGAGGGAGTGGAATATTATTTCTTTTGTATTGCAAAGCTACACATAAACAATTATCAATTTTTATTGATTCAAGAACAGAAGAAAAATGTGTTAAAGGATCAAATATTAAATTGTAATAAATAACACAATTATGATGCTTTTTAAATTGAAAACCTTCTAGGTAATGTTTACTGTTTAACTTGCTCCATTCAGTTATTTTATCATTTTCAGAAAAAAAACTAGGTTCATCTTCTTAAAAAATACGTGTTTTAGGTGGTCTTCTTAAAGCAATAGGTGATGGTAGTGTGAAAGGCCGTTTTAAGCATTCGCTTGAAAAAATTTCAGGAATAGGGTTTAAATTCCAATTTAACTTGCTTTTTACACCTCGAATAATGTACTTTTCATTAAAATGCTTTTCACATAAGACAGAATTTGGTAGGCACCCAATCACTACGGTTTACAAAACGAACCCAATAATTTAGCAACTGTTCATTTTTCAACGGAAAATGAATAGAAGCAACTTTTATATCTTACAAAGAACTCTATCCAGAGTTGTATCCAGTTTTACAACCATATACAACACACTTATTAACCATAATCTTCAGCTTTGCTAATATTAATAAATTATCTTTTTATTTATTTATTTTTTTAAGTTGATTAAGGTGCCCCAAGAAGTCCTTACTGTTTTATCACAGAGCAGAGCTGAAGAGCATTAATAGAAAGTTCACGCCTCCTTCCCAACCGGTGTCGCAAAGCTTGCCCAGAGGTGGGGTTTGAACCACGGATCTTATGTTTCTGAGGCAAGTGCGCTACCACTGCGCCACGGCTGCTTGTATAAATTATCTAAAATAGCATTATATATATATATATATATATATATATATATATATATATATATATATATATATATATATATATATATATATATATATATTTAATGTTTTTTTTTTTTTTTTTTTTTTTTAGTTTACAATGTTAGTCGTGTTACAAAATTTATAAGTCGTAATATATAAACATAAGTCGTAATACATTTAAGTCTTACTAACAATATAAAACTAGGTTTCCGAAAGAAGATCATAAGGATTTTATCATCGGAACCTTAAAAAGTAAAAATATTTATTTATAACATATATATATATATATATATATATATATATATATATATATATATATATATATATATATATATATATAAAGAAAATTTAACGTGTTTACATTATGCAAAATACAACACATTTTAATATATAATAAGTTGAAGATTTAACAAATACATTTCACATACATTTTTAATTGAATTTTAGAATGTTGTCCTAAGGAAGAGTGAATTTTTTTAACTCAATTTTAAAATAGAGAAGAGTAATAGAAGGATCAAAATTTGGTAATACTATTTTATTCCAAAGATGGGGTGCACATATGCAATACAAAATTGATTGAACTTAGTTTTACAAAAAGGTTCATTTAAAAAACTATTATTTCTAAATATGTATTTATTTATTGGTTTTAAAGAAAAAAGGTCGTTAAAAACAAATAAAGATAAATCGTTTTTCCATATAGTAGTAGAACATAAGACATTAAATATGTTCAGTTAATAAACATCTAGAACCTTCATATAATCAAAAAAATATTTTGAATGGAAAAAGCGATCCGCATAATTAACTACGCGGATTGTATGTTTCTGACGGCGATAAAGATGTTGTAATTTACTTTTATCCGTACTTCCCCAGGCGATGATTGCATAATTTATATAGTTATGTATAAATGAATAATTGAGTTGGGTTAAGTTTTTTTTGTTTAGATAATTTCAGGCTTTGTATAAAATGCCAATATTTTTGGAAATTTTTGTGCTTATATGATCAATATGTTTTCTCCAAGTAATATTCTCATCAAGATAAACACCTGAGAATTTTATAACAGTATCTCTTTTTATTATCGTTTCATCAATATAAACTTGAGGCATATTACTTGGTAAAAAAAGTTTTTTTGCGCAGGAGTGAAAGATTTTGTTTTTTTAATATTTAAAGTTAATTTATTAGCTTTAAACCAATTAGAAATGTCATTTAGTTCTTTGTTTGTAGTAGAAAAGAGTTCATAAATATCAGTATGGGATAAGAAAATTAGTATCATCAGCGAACATTATACTTTTCAATTTGGAAGCTTTGCTTAAGTCGTTTACATAGATTAAAAATAGCAGTGGCCCGATAATAGAACCTTGTGGAACACCACAGGTTATGCTCAGGGGTTCACTTTGCTGACCATTATTACTATGAACAAGTTGTTTTCAATTTGTTAAACAGCTTTTAAACCATTTTAAGATTCTATTGTTTAAACCATAATGTTTAATTTTTTGGAATAAAATGTGATGATCGACCGTATCAAAAGCTTTTGATAGGTCAATAAATACACCTAGTGTATATTGGGATTTTTCAAAAGATTCAGAGATGTTATGTATAAATTGAATAATGGCATGTTCAGTTGAACTCCCTTTTCTAAAACCATACTGATTGTTATGAAGTAAGTTGTTGTAATTAAAATAACTGTATACCCTATTGAAGATAATTCTTTCTAAAATTTTAGAAAAGATAGAAAGAACAGAGATGGGACGATAACTACTGATATTGGATCTGTCGCCTTCTTTATGGATAGGAGTAACCCTGGCAAGTTTTAAACGTTCAGGAAAAATACCTTGATGGATAGAAGCTCTGAAAATTTTAAAAATAATGTTTTTTAATTGTTCGTAGGATCTATAACAATATTTCTGTTTACTTCATCTGCACCAGGTGCTTTATTTTTTTTAAAGATTTGAAAGCTTTTTAAAACTCATCAAATGATAGTTTGGCAGATAATTCTTCAGAGCAAATATTTTTATCAATAGGTATCAAAAAATCATAAAATGAGGTTTGGGTTTTAGTATTTTACTTGACAGAGTTGATCCAATTTCAGTGATATAATTTATTGAATTTATGAGCTATTATTTGTGGTTCATACAAGCTATTGTTATCGACTTTAAGCATTTGTGGCAAAGAGCTTGAGCATATTTTTTGTTTTCCAGTAATTTCTTTCAATACTAGCCAAGTGCTTTTTGAGTCATTTTTAACTTTATTTATTAATTTTGAATAGTAAGTTTTTTTTAAATTTTTTCGAAAATATTTTTGTAATCTTTGTAAATTTTTTCGCTAGCTGGTGTTTTTGTTTTTAGATATTTTATGTTTAGTTTTGGATGATTTTTTGAAATCTTTGGTAATCCAGGGATTATTAAAGTGTTTTGTTTTTAATGTAATTGTAACAATTGGGAAATTAGATTCGTACACAGAGGTGAATGTTTCAAAAAAATTTTCATTAAGGTTGTTTGTGTTTTCATTAAAATTTAAGTGTTTCCAATGTAATAATGAGAGCTGTTTTTTGAAAGACTCAATATTTGATCAATTAAAAAAACGTTTTTTTATAATTTTATTTAATTTTTGTTTAGGCGGTTGGTCAGTGTTTATGGTTAGAAAATCGTTTGAACTGTCTCTCTTTTGGTCACAAAACCAAAAGAGAAACAGTTCGAACGAAGAAGAAGTAAAAGATTCCATTAATTCTTAATGGAATCTTTTTCTTCTTCTTTGGCCTGATTAAAAACTTTGTTTTTAATTTTTTACTGATATATATTTAAGTGAACTTTAATTTCTGAGCTTCTTGTATTGCGATGTACCCGTCTTTGTATTCAAACATTGTTTTAAGTCTTTCAATGTTCCTTTCTGTTATTATTTTAATAATCCAGGGACTCTTTGGTGCCCCAGAATTATTTTCAGCGCGTCAAATAATGGTATAGATGGTCTTGATAGAAATTTTTTTAGCAAGAAAGTGATCAACTGTAAACTTTTCCCTTTAGATTGATTTTTCAAATAAAAGCTGTATAAACGTTATGTGCGCACACATAAATATGTCTATACACACACACACACACTCACACACACATACAAATATGTATATACACGCAAGCATATATATATATATATATATATATATATATATATATATATATATATATATATATATATATATATATATATATATATATATATATATAAAATAAAGAACACACACTCAAAAAATGAAGTATTTCACGTGTTTTAAATTTTAATAAATATAAAATTGGTTTTATTTAAACTTGTATAGAGATTGCAGCTGCTATTTCAGCTTCATCTACGATGCTAGGGCTGAACCTAATTTATTTAGTTTGAGAATGAGAGTGATCATGGAGGAATTTCTACTTAACTACATTTGTTACTATTTTATGCTTGCGAGATTAGAAGGAATTACTTCTAGTTTTACATTGAATTTGAAAGACTTATTTTTAGATCTAAAAATCAATCAAATCTCAATTAATTAAGTTCAGTTATAGCAATTTGGTAAAATAACGCAAATTCAATTTTTTTAGAATAGTTCTATCAATTTATTAACTATATCTAAATTATAAAAAAAAAAGGCATGAAAAAATTAATTTAAACTTTTGCTGACTAAAAAAAAAGGAAAAGAAGGTCGCTTTTCGAAATTTTCCGACTGACTAGTTTAAAAGATCTACATTTGCTGATTAAATGAACGAAAAGTTCATTTTTGGAGGGGTGTCTTACCCCTTTTCCTTCGTGCCGGCCTTGAGTGGGAACGTAGTATTGAACTGCTTAAAATAGTTAGTATAAATTTCATTATTATTTAATGCCAAAATCGTTTTTTCATTACTACAATAAGATGTATATGCTTTATTTATATAACTTCTGTTATTACGAAAAATGTTACCTATTATCTATCTTATCTAGGCTCCCCGTATACATTGTGTATGGTACCGTTACGATCTTCATTAAGAGAATTGCGCTCTTTAAACTTATCGTTAAATTAATTGTTGCGTATCTTGTATTAAGTGAGAAAGTTTTATTGTTAAAGTGAGAAAATTGTATTGTTAAAACGGATAAATTTTTTGTTCAATGTGTTTATATGTTGGAACATTATAAATGTATTTTTGAAGTTTAAATGCTTTTAATGGGAAAAATATATTGCTATATTCAAACTAATCCGACAGTGTGTAAATGTAAAAATTTTGTTACTAGGCTTTAATAAAATCTGGGTCCTAGCTCTAAATACGAGATTTTATTAAAGCAAAAGAGTTTAAAATTTTTTAAAATCCATAAGAGTCTTATGGATTTTAAAAAGATTTTAAACTCGGAAATGGTTTGCATACTAGTTTTCCAATTAAAAGGTTTTAAATTTTAAAAATTTGCATCCTTTATTATAAAAGTATATTATACATAAAAAAATTAAGTAAAAAAACAGCCTTCATCTTGATTAACCGAAAGCAATTCACGTGATGAATAAAGTTTACTTCAAAAACTTGCGTCAAAATAAAATAAAAATAATTGAGCAAATATAACGCCAGTCATCAGTTATTTGGCGTTTTAAATATAAAATATTTAATATTTGACGTTATATAATAATAGTCACTAATTTGAATATGTCCAATTAAATCTTGTAATTTAAGAACATAAAAACGTAATAAAATTATTAAAAATAATTAAAATAAGTAGTTTATAAATATTTTAAAAGTATATAATTTGTAACCTTGTCGTCGGGTACAAGATGTTGACACCAATAACAAAACGACACAAAATTACAAAACGACACAAAATAACAACCTTAAATCAGTGGCGGATGAAGTTTAGCTTCGTGGAGGATAGGAAGAGATGAGAACGGGATGACAGGGATTAGTGGTGGCACATTAACCCCCAGAAACCTTTTATTTTTGAGAACCACTCTTGTGATAAAGATGTTTTATCAATGATTTTATGCGCCTCTTATCATAACTATTAAGTACGTCTAAGACACTAGACTATCTAAAGTTTTGAGTTTGCTAAGTTAAATTTGATTAACAATTATTGTTAAAAAAAAAAAAAGAAAGAAACATTTAATATTATTGCAATGATTTGGTTATTTAAAAAATTATTTACACTTTACATATTAGTGAAAGCAAGCATTAAGAAAGAAATTTCTTTTTCTGCTGTTTATACAATTTTTTTTCCGCGAGATTTTATTTCCAGTGGGGATAAACCGTTCGTTAACCGTCTTAAGAAAATTATACAGACTTGTGACATCTAAAAAGCGTTGTTTAGACGTCTTTTAGATGTCTAAACAACTTAGCATGCACAGACGTCTGTGCATACTGGGTTCAAGCAAAATGACTTATTGCAGGGGCGGATCTAGGATTTTATATAGATGTAGCTAAAATTTGTAAAATTACGTCATAATTGCAACTATTTAATAAGTCGGTTAGTCTACGTCAAAAAGACGTCCGACAATTACGTCATGTAGACGCCGCCAGACGCCGTTTTTTTATCCGAGCGTTTTTAATTCAGTTTTTGCACTCATATTTTTTTCATTTATTTTTAATGGATTCTAGTAAAACAATTAATGGTAAAATATAAAATTTGCCTTGGCTATTCTGTTCGTAATTTAGACATGTCTAATTTACTTAACGAAGTGCACCAACTAGAAGGTAAGCCATAGGACTTTGCACTCCATATGTAAGTTGTTATGCTGCCTAAAGTTAGCTCTCCAATTCTGGATTCTTTCCTTTATATTTTTGTTACTAATAGAATAAATGCAACTATCACTGCATTAACAATATGATATCGTAATTTATTCAAAAGATATTTTCTTATATATTACTAAGATATTAAAGTTGTATATTACTATATATAAATATATATATTTAAAAAAAAAGATTTGAACAGTCTCATTATCTATAGAATCTTCAGGAAGCTAATTTATAACATCTTTGTTTTTTATGATTATCGAGCACTCTTTTTGAGCATACTCAAATGAAATTAACACATATTTAAATTTTTTATTTAGTGGTTTACATTATTTAGTTTAAAACAATTTTTAAAACATTTTACATTTTAGATGTCAAGGATTATGAAATGTACACAAAATAGAAAATAAATTTACTTATAATATTTATAAAAAAATTTACTTATAGATATTTATAAAAAATAAAAAAAGATGCTCTAAGAGTAAATTAAACAATGAAAAAAACAAAAAAATGATTGTAAATATAAGAGAAATTCAATTATTTTATTCACATATAAATATAATTATTATTCAATCATAGCCAAATATTTAAAGCTTAAATAGCAACTTTAAACATCTCTCTCCATTAGCTGAAAATTTTTTGTTAACACCGTCTTTATCAAGAACCATTTCGGTATAAATTGACATTAAAGCTAGGTCATCTAATGACTATTTTAACATTCTACTTCTTGAATAAGTTTTTAATCTCTTGGTATTGTACCTAGAATTAAACCTTTAAAATATTCAAGAATGTTGGGGAAATGAATCATTGTCATGAGTTTCGTTTATAAAATACTAGATAGGGGTTTTGACTGATCTTTTTAAAAAGGCTTCCATAATCCAACTCTGCATAAAGAATGGTTGAATGCAGAGTTGGAATGATAGATATCTAGAAATTCCTGAAAGATTTGCAAATCTTAGTTAGTTTTCAAGTAGCTTAACATGACAGTTGTAACTGCAAACATCCCATATAAACCAACTTGCTTTCTGTTTGAAATTTTATATACTAGGTTGGTTGAAAAGTTCGCGGAGCGGCACCTATGTTGCAGTAGTAGAAACAAATTTATAACTGTATTAAACGTATTCATTCTTCGTATGAACGCATAAAAAATTTCAAGTCGATATGTCATTTCAGTCTTTGTTTACAAGCTATTGAAATTAGACGTGTCATAGTATTTTTTAAAATGGAAAATATTGAACATCGTGCTGTAATAAAATTCTTTGTGAAAAAAGGTTTAAAGCCCATGGAAATTCATAATGAAATGGTAAATGTGTTGGGTGATGATGCTCCTTCAAAAACAACAGTATGCAAATGGGCTGCGGAGTTTCAACGTGGGCGTTCAAGCCTTGAAGATGACCCTCGCTCTGGACGTCCAAAAAGTGCTACTACTGAAGAAACGATTAATGCTGTGCATGACATGGTTATGGATGATAGACGATTGACCAAACGTGAAAATGCTGAGGCTGTGGGCATCTCAGATGAACGGGTATTACACATCTTGCACGATGAATTACGTCTGAGAAAGCTGTTGGCAAGATGGGTGCCGCATTCGCTAATTCTGGATCAGAAACGCACTCGAGTAAAACTTTCTCAAGAACATTTGGCCCGTTTTCAAAAGAATAAAACAGATTTTGTGCGTCGATTCGTAACCATGGATGAGACTTGGGTTTACCACTATGATCCGAAGCTGCGACAACAAACTGCAGAGTGGACAGAACCCGGTTGTTCAGCTCCGAAGCAAGTGAAGGCGTCAAAATCGTCAAAGAAGGTTATGGCATCAGTTTTTTGGGATGCAAAAGGAATTTTATTAATAGATTACCTTCAAACCGGTAAAACGATAACAGGTGAATATTATAAAAATCTTTTGGACCAGTTGGATAAAAAAATTCGTGAGAAAAGACCTGGTTTGCTGCATAAAAAAATCATTTATCACCAGGACAACGCACCTGCTCATATCAGCGATGTTGCAAAGGCGAAATTGGTCGAATTAAAGTACGAACGCTTGGAACATCCACCCTATTCACCAGATCTGGCTCCGTCCGACTTCCACCTCTTTCCACATCTCAAAAAATTTCTACGTGAAAAGCGTTTCTCATCACATGAAGAAGTCATTGCAGCCGTAAATGGGTATTTTGAAGGCCTTCCGGAATCGCACTTCAGAGATGGGATACATGAATTGGAGAATCGTTGGAAAAAGTGTATTGCTCTTAAGGGAGAATATACTGAAGAATAAAGTCATTTTTTGAATCATAAAATTGTTTTTTCATTTCCGCTCCGCGAACTTTTCAACCAACCTAGTAATTAATAAGTTCATTAACAAGATGGTCCAGTAGAGTTAAAGTGATAGAAAGCTTAAAATAATCAGATGATGAGTGATTTTCATGATTGATTTGCTTTCCACATTTTCTAGTTTTTTTATTCTTTTACATTTAAAGTAAGAGCTAATTCAAGACCAATTGTAGCAATATAAAAAATTCAATCCATCAAATTTTGGTTAAAACTAAAGTTACATTTAAATAAAATTCAAACATTAACTATGAAGAGACAAAAAGAAAAATACCTAGACTTTTCTGTTTTCAAACCCAACAAGTTAAAAAAACATTGATTATCTTTGCTTTTTCAACAGAAAGATAATTATTTAAACATGCCTGTATTTTCCGACTAAAGGCACATTTAAATAATTAAAGACAGTCAACAAACCTTAAGAAATCTTTACGAGTATTATAGTTATTGCCTATATATTTTATAATGATAGACTACTGTTTAAAATTAACACAATCAGATGCTTTATCAGCTAAAACTGAATAGTATTTACTATTATTGATTTCAGCAATAAGAATCTTCTTAAAAGCCTCTCTACAACACTCCATAAGTTGTTTTTGTGTGGTTTAAGAAATAATGTAACATTTTTAGAGACAGATATTAAATGATCTAATAAGATAGTGTCACCTGTATAAATTCCAAAATTAGGTAGTTCAAAAATATTCCCTTCAACTCTTTCTTGAGGACTCTTTTCAAGAGAGTTCTCAAGAAACAGTTGAAGGAAATATTATATTATAAAATACAAATATAATACAATATTGGAGACTATAATACAAGAGACTCTTATATTATAGTCTCCAATACTGTATTATATTTGATTCTAATTAACAATAAAATCAACTTATATCTAATTGAAATCAACTTATATATTAATTGAAGCTTTAATTAAAGATCCTCTTTAATTAAAGCTTCAATTTAAAGATTAAAAAATTTTTTGAAGAAATAAAAATCTAATATTTTAATTATTTACATTTATAGCAAAAAAAAAAAAAAAAATTGTTTATATAGCTCTGTGGCAAAACTATTATTTATATTAATAACCTGTTTAATAAAATAATAATGTTTTAGTTAAATGTTATAAGAAATTTAGAACAATAAGCACAGAAACAGTTGTATATAAGTAAACTAGTTACAGCTATAAAAGACTACTTATTTTTATTACAAATATAGTCCGTGAAAACATAGTTAAAAATATACCTTGAAGCTACAAAAGTTTTGTCAAAACCTTGATCCATTTTAAAACATGGCATAAAAACATTTATATCAGAGCATTTTCAAGCCAAAAGTTTAACTACGAAATTTAACTGGTGAGATATTCAAAACATTTAATGTTAGGAATGTGAATCAATAGCATTTAAAACAGTTTTTTTTCAAAACATACCCGCCATTATTACCAACTTAGTAAGAAAATAATAACGGCGCTTTTCTAATATAAATATAGCTGGGTATAAAAAGTCTGGGAAATAAGTACAGCCGCAAGGCAAAAAGCAATCTAGTCACGGGCTACGAGTGTTGACGGCATACGACTTTTCAATAAAAATACATTAGGTTAAAAAAAACAATAATTTAGTCAGCTTATGCCGTAAATTCAGGTCGTTTGTGGCTCAGCCACAAACCGATATCCAACGACCGATCTTTTTTTTAATTCCGGTTTTTTTAAGTTTTAAGTAATCGCTTCTTAAGCCGAATTTACACAGCAAATAAAAATAAACTTATCTTGATTATTTATATCATTTTTATTTTGAAAATATGTCGGAGTATTATACTGTTTTTTATTTCGTTGAATATTTTAAGGTGTAGCCTTAGCCACAACGGCTATACCCTAGATCCGCGCCTGTATTGATAATTCAAAGTAAATACTGTCAGCAAGTTCACATTCGATTAAAATTAATGTCAATCCAAAAAGACATTATTGTGTTATTGTTGACCATAGATAATTTTGTAGAGTATAGACAAGTTAGGAAATCATAATGTCATTTATTTCTCTATTAATATTTAATGCACGTCTTTCGTTATATAGTGCAGTCATCGTTGCTGGAGATCTTTATGCATGCACATCTTTGAAAATAGGGCTGGCTCGAGTAGGTTTCAAGTTGGGAGGGGGTGCCAAATCAGATTCTTACCTTAAAGGAAAATAGTCAAATTTTGGTTATTTTCCTTTTTATTTTGTATTCTTTATTGGCATCGAAACCTAGTAGGAATGGTAAGATTATATCTCTTCAAAATACTAATAAATGCTCAATTAAATGTTTACATATTATAAAACCATATATGATTTACAGTGGCGGATTTAGTATAGGGCGTGGGGGATAAGAGGGGACAATCTGCGTCCCCCCCCCTCCCCCGCACATCATCCTTGTCATTTTTGTATGAAACTATTTTATTACGGAAACTTATTCACTAAAAATATATAGTTTCGTAATTAATATGAAGTTTTTTGTTGTAAATTATATTTAAAAACATATAGTTGCATTATTATGAAGTTTTAATTGTTCATGTATATAAAGATTTTTTTAAATGACCTTAATAATCATGTCTAACCCACCATTTTCAACATTTTTTTTTTTATCTTAAAAGTCAAAATTATTAAAATAATATTAAAATAACAAGACAAAATTTTTGTCTTAAAACTTCTATATCTAAAAATGTCCATTCTCATCTAAATGGAACAATGCAAAGTTGAACTGTCCATTCTCATCTAAATGCTTATAACTTGGTATCAAAAGATAAGTGTAAGAATAAGCTACAAATGTAAATTGTAATCTGGCTGTCAGGCGTATCCAGGATTTTAGAGGTGTATAAACCATCGTTACTTTTTAAAAAAGCATAGTTTTCTATAAAAGGAAATTTTTTAAATTTAAGTTAATAATTTTTGTATATAATAATTTGTTGCCAGTTTATTCTAGTCCAAAAGCAAATATAAGAGGTGTCGAGAATTTAACAGACCCTAATATCAAAAATTCTTATAAATACTTTTATGTTTATTAAAACGATTGACACTCGTTTGAAAAGTAAAAATTAAATTTTACTACATTGCAGCATGCATTAGAAAGTTATACATACACGAACTAATAGAGTGGAGTGTTTAACTCCTTTCCTCGAAACCCACCCTCACTTATAGCCTCTACAAGGAGAGGGCCAATGGTACTCGGTGGTGGCCCGGAGGTAAAAAGGGACAGAAGAGTATATCAATACACACAATATATATGTATTAATAAATACACAGTCATGCACAATAGCTCAACGTTTGTATTTATTCTCAAAGCTACAATTTTTTGGACAGTTGTGTAACCGTTTCCGGCGTTTTTCTCACAGTTTTTACTTGGTTATTGGATCTGTAAACATAATTTATTCAGTAATCTTTCAGATTAATTATTCACATTAAATGAACTTTGTTATAAAACTAATTTAGAACCAAAAATAATTAATTCTAAAATTATTTGAGTTTTGACGTGTATATAGTTTGAAAAGACTACAGTTTTGAAATTAGTTATGTTTCTTTAAAGTTATATTTGTTGTTCAAGATAAAATGCTGTCTCAAAAGAAAGATATATTAGATTGTCAAGTTATTAGAACATGTCAAGCTTAAATTACAATCTAGAAAGCTTAAATTAAAGTCTAGAGCTCAAAATGGAAAACTTAAAAATAAGCTTTAATCAAAAAAAAACCTCGTGAAAGTAAAGAAGGGAGGTTTAGTTGTTTTTAATGATA